GTTTTGCAAGCTTTCTCTTAGACCTCACAAGCTGTGAGAAAGTTCAGGTCACAAGGTGAGGGCATGTATAGGTTCTGGCTGAGAATTCCAGAGGAAATTTCAGATGAACATAGAAGTATCTGTGCAGAAGCATTTGTCATAACTCCAGCCTTAGCCACATTAAAGTATAAGTATGTAAGAGACTATGAAAAAGAGCTGCTTATTAATTCCAGTCACTTGAGCATCCTCATTTCCTTCTTTATTCCCTTATCTTTGTACAAGAACACCTTAACTAATTTCCCAAAATGTATAAAGAAGAAAATACTTTAGGTTGCTCACACCCACCATTTAACATACCTGGGTGGAAGGAGACCAGTTTCAACTGCCATTGCTAAGCAGTCATAAAGAAAAGAAATTCTTTTAGGACTATGCTGGCCATGAATAAATTTAACAATCCACTGGATACATTGTTCATGAGACTCCTGGAAAATCAGAAAATTATTTTAGGTCTAAAATTACACTTTATAACTAATAATAGATAATACTACACCTGGGAGTATATCAAGACTATGAATGAAATACTTCATTGTGAAAGTATTTTCATCTATCATGAAAAATATTTTCATCCACTTACAGATGAAAAAGCAAGATGAAAAAAAAGCAAGATGAAAAAATTCAGACTTATTATTTGTTAAATTAAGTGTAACATCTTGCAATTATAAAGGTTAAATTTCTACATTTACTGTATGGGACCTCCAAAAGTAGTTAAGCTTTCATTAACATTCATGGTCAAAACAAACTACATAAGGTACTGTTAGCAGTGCCCTTACTGCTAGATATAAAATTTTCTGCCACTGGATAAAAAAAAAAAAAATCTATTATGGATTAGTACATTAGCCTCATGAAAATTCAGTGTGAGTCTCATCCCTAGAACCCCAAATAAGAGCCCACTAAAAGTCCAATGACATATCAAATTTCTGACATGCAAAACTTATAAGTTTGATATCAAAAAGTTGGGCTCATATCAAAAGTTTGTCTTCTAGGATATCTCAAAAAAATCTCTATTCAAGAAGAGACTATAAGTCCTGCTTCTCTGTCGTTACAAACACTTCCATTATCGTACATATAACCATGATTGTTAAAATACCAATTGTATTTCTGGCTCCCCCATTAGAATATAATCTTCTTGAAAACAAGAGGCCTACCTTAAATCACAAAATTTTCAATGAATTTAAAATACTCAAATGTTTGAAAGATGCTCAATACTACTGAGAGAAATGCAAAGTAAAACTATACTGAGATAAAATTTCTCATGTGTCGATTGTATAACAAAGACCAAAAAGTTACTAAATCTCTATTATAAGGCTATAAGAAATAGACACTCTTATACATAGATGTAATGAGAACTAACCAGTATGGCAATTTAAGCAATTTCTATAAAAATTATATATATATTGGGGCTGGGGTTATAGCTCAGTGGTAAAGAGCTTGCCTCGAATGCGTGAGGCCCTGGGTTCGATCCTCAGAACCACATAAAATAAATAAAAATAGATATTGTGTCCATAAAAAAATAGCATACATATGTAATCAAAAATACTACTTCCAGAAATTTATTTTATGTCTTATGTATAATATTATTCACTATACCACTGTTTAAAGTAGAAAAGTTAAAAAGTAATCTACATGTCATCTAGTAGAGGCTTGGTACATACATATATAGACTATTATACTGCTATAAGAAAGTAAAGAATCAGTCTTAATGGACTGATATGGAATTACCCCCAGAAATTATTAAGAGAAAAAAGGTGCTAATTAATGAGCAATACAAGTAATATGCAACAATACCAGAAAAATAATTCTGAGATGGGGATGTAGTTTAGTAATAGAGCACATGCATGGCATGTATGTGTGAGGCGCTGGGTTCTATCTCAGGAACTGAATAAAAAAAGAGAGATTCTATTAAAAATACTTACTTTTAGAAGAAAAAAAATAGAATACTGGCTACAGATTGGAAAAGAACAGGTGACTTAGCTAAGAAAGACAGGAGACAGATTGGTCACTGGATCCATCCTTTTTTATCATTTGTATTTTGAATGATATAAAGACATCTACTTGAAAATAGTTAAAATAAAAATTTTAAATATAAATGTATTTATATTTATACATTTATATGATCCACATCTGAGTGGCAAATCTTACCACCTGTGGCTCACAAGCATACAGATCTCATTTCCCACCTATGGTAAACCATGAGAAGTTATTCTGGTGGTTATTCTTTGTTACTAAGTTGACTGCTACTTTTTTTACTATAATGTCTTCATATGTTTATTATAGAAACTTTGTATCCTTACTGTAGCATCTTTGAATCTTTACTGTAGTCTTCCTATCATTGTTGTGCATTTTTTTACTGGGGAGTAAATAAAGGAAATTTTTATCTATTACCGGAAAATTTTCAAGTGTACTAACTAAAATAGCATGAAAATAGTTTTATATAGACTAACAAAAGAGTTTTAAAAACATCTCCCACAGTGCTGTCATCAATGTGAATTCTGTTACCCCCTTAAGTATACAACTTAAAAACAAAATGGAAACCAGAATAAAAGTGGATGGCAGTTCTACTTTTTCCTTTACTAAAAGATCTTAACAGCAACATCAAAGTAAATGTAAAAATGAAAGGGGCCGATAATCACTGGCTGAATGTATTAAAAATGCAGTGCTCACCTGAGAAAGACCACCCCAAAACTGTCTGAAGGCCCCCAAACAGCTAATTAGTTTTGTTTTTTCATCTTCCGGGGTATCCATAAACATCCTATAAGAGCAAAAATCAATTATTTGTCGCTAGTTTTAAAAAGATAATTACATAACTAGAATAGTGGATCTTATAACCCTCCACGCCAATGTAAGTAAAATCTTACAACGACATAATCCCATTAAAACCACAAAAATCTTCCACGCACATACCCGGGGAAAGCCTCTTCTATGACTTCCGTTTTCTGTAAAAAGCAAAATAAAACAAGTAAACTACCCGAATAAAAGAGGAGAGGGCTCCCCCTCGAAATATTTACAATGCGGCAAAGAGCAAGTCACCTAAATCAGCAACGCGCTGAAACTAACAATACCACTTAGATCTGTCCCCAAAGGGATTGTGAATTCAAAAGGACACTTCCATCTGACAGCAATTTGAGAATCACTAATCCCTCGCAATCACACTTGGTGTCAAAACAAAGGAGAGGCTGGAGAGGAGGTTGCCCAGGCCGAGTTCCTGAGGCTGCCTCTGTCACCCGCTCCTGAGCCACAATCCCAGGGCGACGGTAGATGCACTCACCACCACCTCCTCAAAAATGCTCTGCAGTTGTGTCTCCATCTGTACCATCGTCCCCCGGTCTTTCCCGGGCGCCCGACAAAGTGCAAGACTGGCCTCAGCACCGGCAAGAAGTAGCACAGGGGCGGAGTCTCCCGGAGGAAGCCAACGCTCTCACTCGTCGCTTCCTTCCATCCCGAGCCCTGCAACAGCAACCCATACGGAAGCCGGGAAGGTCCGGGTGCGCGCCCTTTACGAAACCCCCCAGAAATCAGTGGCCAAACCTGATGGTTCCGTTTGGAGAAGCGCGGCCTGAGAACTGCACGAGAGCGCCCCCTCGGCTGAGTCCAAAGCATCCCGAGTCGCGTCAAAAGCGGGCCGCCGCCTCCCGGCTGGAGCGGGAGTTGCTTTCTGTTTGGTGCTAACTTGTAGAAAGAAAGAAGCACAGGTCAGAGGCTTCCGCCTACCGAAAATGCCTGGGCTGACGTGGGACCAACCTGATGTCTGTGAGTGGCCGACCTGCTGGAGGAGTTGAAACCACGCTTCTCTGGACCATGGGGATCATGTCTTCTCAACTACGGTAACCTCAGAACCTAAGCCCAGTGAGGAACACTAAGCCCGCTTTCACTGAATCATGGAAAACAACAACAACAAACAACAAACAAAAAACCCCGGAATGAATGCATCGTTATTGATTTTTGTTTAGAATTATTAAATAATAATATCTACTGTTTTTAGTTATAATCATCTAAAATAATTATAATTACAAGTTATTGAATACTGGTTGAGGTAGAGATGGGCTGGAAGGCTAATACAGCCAAAATTATTAAAATCCAAGTACCCTACCCACCTATTGTTCTTTTCTGTAGGCTCAACAGGTAATCTTACTGTGGATTATATTTCATTGGATTTTAGTTCTAAGACATTTTTTTTTGTTACTATTTGGCATATTTTCATGCTTACTCTTTGTGTTGTCCAAATTAGTGTATTCTTAGTGAATGCCAAGTAAATCTTAATATTGGCCAGGACTTGTATAATTAAGAAGGTAAAGTGGTCAGAAAAGAATTATATCTATTTTATAATAAAATAGAAATTAGTTTTACTTTATGCTTGCTGATGATCCACTCACAGACTAAAAATTGACTATACATTTCCAGAGCTTCTTAATGTGTTCCTCCCATGCTTATTTTTTATTTATATTTTATTTACAATGAAGCACGTAAAACTTAAATGTATAGATCCATGAACTTTGACGAGGTTCACACTTGCTCAACTAACACTTCAGTCAAGGTATGGAATATTTTATATCACCTTGGAAAGTTCCTGATGCCCCTTTGCAGCAAACCCCCACTCCACAAGACACATACTTTGAGTTTAAATAACCATTAATTAGTTTTTCATGGTTTAATATTTACATGGGGAATATTTTTCCCCATCTTAGCTTGCTTTCTCATTTTCAGAATTGTTCCTATGTTTAGTAGAAAATGTTAATTTGGATGAAGTAGAGTTTATTATTCTTTTTAATTTCATGGTTATTGTTTAGCAGCCTAAGGAAAAATTAGTATCTCCCTTAAGTGTTTTTTTTCCCTAGAAACTTTAGAGTTTTAGCTTTGATATATTTGAATTAATTTTTTGTGGATGGTGAAAGGAAGGCAAAACCACTCCTGATTTTTTTTTCTTAATATTTATTTTTCAGTTATCGGCAAACACAACATCTTTGTTTGTATGTGGTGCTGAGGATGGAACCCGGGCCGCACGCATGCCAGGCGAGCGCGCTACGGCTTGAGCCACATCCCCAGCCCCCACTCCTGATTGTTAATGGCTATTCAGAACTGAGAGTCTGATGGGCCCAGAAGATAGAATATCAAGTCCAAGGGTATTATTCTTGAGCAGTTTTTCCATACTAAATTTCAGATTTGCTTGGAGCATGTATGACTCCTTTTTACTTGCCTGTTACTCCATTTCTGAATAGTAATGTCTTATCATATGTGTTTCATACCATTGTATTTTGGAGGCATACAGTTTGTTTTCTGGTTTCACAGGTTCATAGAGAGGAATTTGCCACAAGATGAATCATAACTCAGTTCTCATCCATTCAATCCTGCAACATTTATTGAAATAAGTTTTCTCTACTAAATGGCCTTGTATTAGTAAGGGTCTATTTTTGGATTTTATTTTTGTTCTACTGTTCAGTCCTTATGCTAATATCATAATATGCTCTAGCTGATAAGAAAGACTTGAAATAGTGGAAGTTGTCCAACTTTATTTTTTCATCCTTCTTTGACTATATTAGGTTCTTTGCATTCATATAAATTTCAGAATCAACTTGTCAAAAAATACTGAGATTTTTATTGGAATAAATGAAGTATATAGAGTAATTGTGGGGATAATTGATGCCTTAGCCATGTTGAGTTTTCAATCTATTATATTTCAGATCTTTCCACTTATTTAGATTTTTTAGCAATATTTTGTTTTTGGTGCACTGGACTTGCTAAAGTATACAGGTTTGTTAATTTGTTTCTACAAATTTTATAGTGTTTTCCTTGCTATTTCAAATAGCATTTAAAATATATTTTCAATTGTCTTTTGCTAGCATCTAGAAATAGAATTGATTTTTGTATATTAACTGTTATGCCCTTGGTGATTTCACTTATTAATGTTAGTAGTTTTTTGTAGATCCCTTAGAATCATCTGTGCATACAATCCTGGTTATCTGCAAAAGGAACAAATTCTTTTCCAATATATATCTTTTGCTGGTTCTTTTTCATGCTTTTTTATACCAGCTGGGACTTTCATTAGTACTGTGTTTAATAGAAGTGGTGAGGATGTATCTGTGCCTTTTTCTTTATTTTAGAGAAAAAATTGCCTTTGACCTTTAAGTATGATATTAGTTGTATGTTTTTCATTGATTGCCTTTAACATTTCATTGATCTATTTGTCATATTGAAGGAAGTCCCCTTATATTAATGAGAATTTTTCTGAAGAGATGTGGAAATTTGTCAAATGCTTTCTCTGCATCTATTGATGGGGACTATATGATATATTTTAAAGAAATTTACTCCTTTACTTTGTTAATGTGGTGAATTTAATTGATTGATTTTTGAATGATGAACCACCTTTGCTTCCATAGTAGAAATGCTACTTTGTCATGATATGTAATCCTTTTTAAATGTTGGATTCTATGTGTTAATAGTTTATTGACATTGTGCATTTTCTTTATATGTTACCATCACTATCAACCATTCATACATCTGTTATACCTAGTGGGTGATAAACTTTCTTTTCTTTCTTTTTAATTTTTGGTACCAGGGATTGAACCCAGGAGTGCTTAACCACTGTACAACATTCCTAGCCCTTTTTATTTTTTATTTTGAGACAGAGTCTTACTAAGTTGCTTAGGTACTCACTCATGGCTGAGACTGGCTTCAAAATTGCCGTCCTCTTGCCTCAGCCTTCTAAAGTTCCCTTCACTTCTTTTGTGGCTATGGAAATTTACCAACTGTTAAAAATGTGCTACTAGTGAATGATAAAGTGAGGATTCCTCAGTAATTCCTGCCAGAAACTTAGTTTCCTAACAATTGTAATGTGCAGATACAACCACTGTATGTCATTGTTAACCACACATGAACTATTGAAGTTTCCTTCTGGAGAATACCTTTGAGATTCAGATGTAGTGTGTTAGTTTACCAGGGCTGCCATAAAAAAGTACCACACTGGGCAGCTTAAAAAATAGAAATTCATTTTTTCACAATTCTGAAGACTAGATATCTGAGATGAAGGCATTAGTAGAGTTTGTTTTTTCTGACTCCTCTCTCCTTGACTTGTATTTGGGCATCTTCTTCTTTTGTCTTTTGTGGTCTTCCCTTTGTTCTTGTCTACATCCCAATTTTCTCTTTTTATGAGGACAACAGTCTTATTGGATTAGAACTCACACTAATGACCTCACATTACTTCTTTAAAATATATAAAATATAGCTTATCTCCAAATATAGCTATATTCAATGGTATTAGGGATTAGGACTTTCAGGGGGACACAATTCAGCTCACTTTGCCCTCTGGTCCCCTAAATCACTATGCAAAATGCATTTACTTTCATTCCAACAGCCCCTAAAGTCTTTTTTTAGATACAATACCTTTATTTTATTTATTTATTTTTTATGTAGTGCTGAGGATCAAGCCCAGTGCCTCATATGTGCTAGGCAAGTACTCTACCACTGAACTACAATCCCAGCCCCGCCTAAAATCTTAATGCATTCTAGTATCAATTTTTTGGGGGGGAGGTACCAAGGATTGGACTCAGGGGCACTCGACCACTGAGCCCCATCTCCAGCCCTATTTTATGTTTTATTTAGAGACAATGTCTCACTGAGTTGCTTAGCACCTTGCTTTTGCTGAACGTTGAACTCGAGGTTCTCCTGCCTCAACCTTCTGAGCCACTGGGATTACAGGTGTGTGCCACTGCACCCAGTTTCTAATATCAACTTTTAAGTCTTAGATAATAATAAAGTATTATCTAAATATCATCTAAATCAGGAATGGGTAAGACTTGATGTATCTTTTGTTCCAAAGAAAATTCAGCTCTGAAGCTGTGAACCTGTAAAAGTAGATAACAAGTCATCTGCTTCCAAAATGCAGTGGTAGGACAGGCATATCGATAGATATTTCCATTCAAAAAAGGGGGAATTAAAAAGAAGAAAGGAGTCAGAGGATCATAAATTCCAAGAAAGTCTGAAACTTGGCAAGTAATTTCAGTAGATTTAAGGTTTATGAATTTTTCTCTTTGACTTATTCTGTCTTCCAGGCCTGCTGGTATGATGGTAAGAAGGAAGAGAGCTTCCACATGGTGGCATTAAGGTAGAGGTTATAGATGCCTGAGTGGGATGAAGTAGGCATCCAACCATGACAGGGTATATGCAGTGGTGTTATTAAAGTCAGCAAAAATAGTAAGTTTATAAGAGTCAGATTTCACATGTGGGAGAAGTGATGTTTGTTTGGCATTGGAGGTTTTGATATGAACTGTAGAATTTTCAACATGTAGAAAGTTTTAGACATACATCTAAATGAGAGATGTAAATATGTGCATGCTCATACACAGACACACATACACGTGTGTGTGTGTATGTGTGTGTGTGTGTGTGTGTGTGTGTGTGTGTGTGTTTCCTTTCTCTGGAAATGGTAGGGTTTAGGAGCAGCAGAAACTCATTGATCATTGGGGGTG